AAAAAAATTAAAAAAAAAATGAGTACATTTTCATGGGGACAGTGAGAATAGGGTCAAACAAATTCTTAGACATAAGAATCAATAGAACCAAACAGAGAGAATAGAATCACATGGTGTAATCTTACCCAAAATGTGCTTGGTACATTTCACTAAATTTTCCACTGAAGACATAATATTAATTACTGAATCATAACATTCCCCAAATGGAAAGGATTCTAGAGATCAGACTAACTTCTTGGTGTATGGATGAGAGAACTGGGACCTAGCAATAACAATGTTAAAATTGGGGCCCAGATTTTCCTTTTTAAATTTGATCGCACAGAAGTATATTAGGGATGCGGTAATCAGCTAAGAGGTCATGGGCATTCAAAAGTAGGAAATTGTAGGGGCGCCTGGGTGGCTCAGTCGGTTAAGCATCCGACTTCAGCTCAGGTCACAATCTCGCACTCCATGAGTTGGAGCCCCGCGTCGGGCTCTGGGCTGATGGCTCAGAGCCTGGAGCCTGCTTCCGATTCTGTGTCTCCCTCTCTCTCTGCCCCTCCCCCATTCATGCTCTGTCTCTGTCTCAAAAATAAAAACAAAAACAAAAAAAAAAAAACAAAACAAAAAAAAACGTCAAAAGTAGGAAATTTTAGAGTTTAAGAAACTGTGAGTTTTTTACCTTCAAAAATAATAGGAACAATTATTTGGGGTTTTCAAATTTTGAATGTGAGAATTACAACATTAGTTCATAATATATTGGGTTTTATTTTTTGGCCATATACCTCAAGATAGGAAAGTACTTCTGATGATGTTTTTGGTGCTGTAAGAATTCCTGAATTCACACATGCCAGAAACAGAGCTACAAAAATATATGACAGCCTTGATCAAGAAGACAATTCCCTGTTTCCCAAGCATAAGTGCAATATTTGTAATTATTGAATAAAGACAGATATTTAAAATAAGCTGAAATTTAGATTAACGAGAAAAGGGTTGTTAACACCTATAGCCATAGAGGGGATGCTAAGTATCTAAATAAATAACACTAAAACAGAATTTTTTTTTTTTTTTTTTTTTGGTGCACCAAAGCTCACTGATGTTAATCTGAAATTTCTAAATACTAAAAGAAAATCTATGAGCTTTTTAGGGTGTCTGTGAAAAGTATTAAAACATTTTTCATACTGATGTGTTTTTAAGCTGGATCTAAGCAAAACTGAATCTACAACTTTTTTGCTGTCAACCAAATACTGGCCAAAAAATGGAATAAAGTAGCATCATATTGACAGTGTGAGAAAAAAAATTCTTTTCTGGGGTGCCTGGGTGGTTCAGTCAGTTAAGCATCTGACTTCGGCCCAGGTCATGATCTCATGGTTCAGGAGTTCGAGCCCTGTGTCAGGCTCTGTGCTGACAGCTCAGAGCCTGGAGCCTGCTTTGGATTCTGTGTCTCCTTCTCTCTCTGCCCTTCCCCTGCTCGTGCGCGTGCGCGTGCTCTCTCTCTCTCTCTCTCTCTCTCTCTCTCAAAAAAAAAATAAATAAACATGAAAACAATTAAAAAAAAAAAGATATTCTGAGTGGTTTATCCCATGCTAAAATGGTGGGGCGCGTAGGACGCATGCATGAGGAAAGGGCCATATGCATACAACCCAAGAGAGGTGGCACAATTTACACATCAACATAGTCCTTAAAGTACTTAATCTTTACTCCTTTTCATGGACTCTGGTTCAGTTAATTTTCTTGGTATTGAGAAGCTAAAAAATAAGTTACAATCACTTGCAGAAAAACTCTGTGACAAGGCCAAATTTTCGGCGTGAGTGTTACTCACTAACAGTACAAGAGAAAAAGAGAGAGGGCCTGTTCACTATGTCTGGCTTTAAACAAGAAAAGCAAACTAACGAGCTCTTTAAAGACTTTATAATCACCAGTCATGGCTCTAAAGTAGGTCACTTCCTCCTCCCAACAGCAGTCTGCGAGATTCGAATATTTACATATCAAAACATTAATGATTACACTTCTAAACAACGGACAGAAATGCTGCTCCTAATTAATTCAGGCCGGAAAGTATATATCTAGCATCTAAAATTATAAGATTTTAACAATTTTGATAAAGTTTTAGCGTTCATTAGTTAACAATTTTAAAAAGCAGTAGGTAATATAAAAGATATAAAACATGCCTGCTGTATTTTAAAAATAATTAACCAAGTATATGTTTTAAATTAGAATCACTGTATAACTACCAAACACAAATTCTTCCCCAAAGCACTGCTGTGAAATCTTTCCCCTAATTATGAGAGATGTTATAATGTGAAGTCCATGCAAACTAACGTGTTCTTGGAAAATTTTCTCTCCTGTCTCCCACTTTGACTCTCTTCTAGAGAGGCAGACAGGGGGTATCTGAGAGTTTGCATCAACAGTGCCACTTGTCATAAAGAATCATATTTTACAGTTTCACAGGGGACTAGGAAAAAAAAAGAGGTGAATGGTGTGGTAAGCAAGGGGCTACATTCGCGATTAAAAGTACGCAATGCTAAACTCCATTATGAAGACAAATAGGAAAGTACAACTTCATTGTTGAAAACAATTTCCCTCCTATCAGTCCAAGGATGCATGCATCAATATTGTAGATGAACTGTTAATTACAAAATCAATTAAAAATTATTTCTAAAAACAGTCACGCGTCCCCGGCTCTCATGGGGGCAATTTGGGCAGAAGGTCTCATCTCACTAGGACTGCGCCAAATCACAAAGTCGTCATCCACAAGTAAGCAAAAGCAATCTGGTTTTTCATTTTTCAGCGCGGCTGAGCCCAGCCTGAGATTGATCGTCACATATGGCCCCAGAAAACAAACTGTCAATACCTTGAATGCTGCAGAATTTGAACAAATAGCCGTCCGCCCATTCAAGCCACTCATTGCATCCCATTTAACAGATTTTATTGACAGTTTCCTTCTTGTAATTAAAGGGAAAACTACTGGCCAGCAACCAAGATAAAGTTCAAAGATAGGGTCAAAACAAAAGCAGATGGAGGGGCACGGTGTGACTGTCAATGGTACATAGCATCAGAGCATGTTATTGACATGCAGGTATCTAATGATCGGCACGTCATTAAGGAGGGATCTATCCTGAACTTTATGCAAATGCTAACAGAGACTTAAGACCACAATAAAGCATTAGGAGAGGCACAAAGGGAAAAACAACAAAGCAGCAACGATTTTTACTTATCAGAGGTTGCTATTTCAGTACATTTCAGTTCAAATGTAAAGACCATTTATTCCCATAATTCTTAACCCTTACTGCATAGGTGGTACCTTTCAGAGAAATACTCCAGCAGAATTAGGTTTCTAGAGAACTCCAGAATACAAGAAAACAGGATTCTTTGATAACCAAAGCTAAAAACAACACCAAATATGTTTTTCCAATTGCAAAATGTGCATTTTTGAGGGGGAGAAAAGGTTTCTGTGTATCCATAATTCATAGGTATTTTCACTTGTGCCTACAAGACAATAGAGGTAATTTTGTCCTGAGAGTGGCCATTTACACTACCAGTTAGGAAATGCATTAGGTGCCAAAAGTTTCACCGCTTTTAGTAAGTAAATATACTAAAAATAATTCAAGTTGATTTCTCCTGTATCTAACTTTTCACTAGAAAGCTGTAATGACTATAATTTTGCTGTCTCATACAGAATTTACAACTGGGTTTAGCAACTCCCTGAAGAAGTTGAGGGAAGGGTAAAACTGAAATATTAAAAAAATGTAACAATGACTATGTCAATATGCCAACCTGAATTAGCAAGAGCTATCGCTTTGAGGGTGACAAATTCTTCTTTCTCCAGCTTCATGCTCTTGTATTTCTTTACCAGCTGCAGGATAGCATTATTTAGGTCAAGAAGGCCTGCTAATTTGGACTGGTCTTCATCCATTATATAATCATCTGCATAGACAAGTTCATCCTCAAATGAAAGAGATCGGTATACGACACCAAGGATCAAAATTTCCATCCAAGCACTCTGCAGAAGGCTCATCTGGTCCGCCAGGGACAACGTGGAGAAGCCTGCATGGGAAGATGGGCAGATCAAGTTACTTTAAAGCCATAATTTCATAATGCAACATTAGTTTCATATGGTAGTGGCTTCTGCATCGGTGCTCAAAATTATGCTGAGCTTTGATTAGATGCTCTTACATTTTTCCCTGATCATTTTGCAAATGGCAAAGTAAAAGTCACAAACCAGTTCAACTTGTTGGTGCTTTTTATAAGTCTTATGGACACAGCTGAGGAGACTGGAACATAAAAGCAGTTTTGTTTCTTTCATTTCAGGAGAAAATAATACGTAGTCTTTAAATATACTCAATTTCTGGCTGGAGTTTTTATAAATGTCTTACAGGAAGTCAGAGTTTCATCTACTTCATCTCTAAAAACTACTACTGATAAACAACATAAAAGTTAAAAAAAAAAGAATCCCAAAATAAAGGAAAACAAACGTTTAGACTCACACTGTAGAGTGCAATTTGGAAACATTTCTCTCTAATAGTCAGACGTTCAGTGAATAATGGGTGTTCTGATACCTGAAAGAGACTTCTTAATTTGATATTCTGCACCCACGGATATTTAGCATGAAGTCCTCTTAAAATGGTGATTATTGGTATAAAAGAGAGTCGAAGGGGAACTGGGTGTCTCAGGTGAGCATCTGACTATTGATTTTGGCTGAGGTTACAATCTCACAGTCTTGAGCTTGAGCCCCATGTCGGGATCTACACTGACAGTGTGGAGCCTGCTTGGGATTCTCTCTCTCCCTCTCTGGCCCTCCCCTGCTACCACACTCACTCCTCTTCTTTCAAAACAAATAAACTTAAAAAAGGAAAGAAAAAAGAAAAAAGAAAACATTCTTTAAAAAGGAAGAGAGAGAAAGAGAGAGACAGAGAGAGAGAGAAGACTACTTAGCAGCCTGGCCTCCTCACCAAATCAAAAAGGCAGAGTTTATTCTTATTAGGATCCAGTTATTTAAAAAGTTAACTGTGGAAGCAATGGGGTTTCATGGATAGCATATAGGCAGAGCCAGATCCTGAATTTAAATATTGGGCCCACTCAGCTACTGTGTCTTTCGCCATGAGCAAGACAATTCACCTGCACCTCAATTTTTATTTTTGGGAAATACAATATAAAACCCAGCAAAATACTAATGTATAACATAGGTTCAATAAATGCAGCCATATCAAATATTACTTTTTTCTTAACTACCGAACTACCTATATGACTGCTTTAGTTCTTCAGTAACAATCTGGTCTGCATTCACACACAACACACACACATGCTTCAAGTTCCTTCTGAGCTTAAGAAAACATGCAAACAAATTTTAAAAGAAAATGTGGTTCAATAGGGAAAGCAGAAGTTGTGCCTTTAAACCTAGTTAGGAGTTAAAATGTCTATTTAGATCTCAGAGGGACTAGATCTGGATTCTAAACTAAGTCCCTTTCAAAATAAATAATAAGTAAATAAATAAAAATAAAAGGAAGGCGTGGTGATACCTGATGATCAGCCACCTACTTTTTCCAAGAGTCCTAAAAAAAGAAATATTTCTTAAATCTTCACTTTCATTTCCAAAATTATGCCCAGGAATTCCAAGAGTGATCGACCACCTCTGTGGTTTTTGAGGACACAGGACTATGATTTAAGATCTTGCCACCAATAATTTTATAGGAGAAAATTGTAATAATGCAACTTATGAAATCTATTTTTTCCTCATAAATACCCACTGCCGCCCAGTCTACTTAGGCTCCTGCTTATGCTCATCACTGTTGTTCCATTTTTTATTTGTATCAAATTGTTCATGTCCCGTGTGATATAAGAAACTACTGCACAATAAGGAAAAGAAAGTGATTTCCTGGCCTGTTGGTGAAAACTAGTGGTTTGCCATTTGGCACCGTTAACTAGAAGTATTTAATAAGATCATCAAGAAGGATTAGTCCAGCTTTTGTCAAGGATGGTCTTCAGACGTGTGTAAAAAGCATTTGTTTCATTGTTTATCAAGCTGTTTACACATTACGTGACAGAGCTTCTTTTGAGCTGGCTGTGTCAATCTTTTTTTCTCTTTTTCCGTGCCTTTTGTTTTGGTCAGCATAATGAACACATTTATTAAAAATAAATTCCTATAAAGATACAACAATCGGTAACATTTCAAACAGTCAAAAGAGTAAAATAATGGCCTCGCCTGAGTAGGTTAGGCTCCATTTGCTTCTGATCTTAAGAATGTTACACTGACAACAAACAAACACTAGTGCTCTTTTTTCTGTTCCCCCTCCAGGAAAAAAAAAAAAACATGCAATACAAATCCAAATATCTCGCTCAAGAAAAGGGCATAGTACGATTTCTTTTGTACATGAAATAGACGAAGAAATAAATGCTCATCCAGAAAGTTACGAGCCAAAAGGGATGGCTGTTCTCCCTTTGCCTTAGTTTTCTTGTTCCTTTTCAGGCTCTCAAGCAGCAGTTTTTCTGCAGCGGCAGACGGACAGAGCGCGTAGCCCGCAGCACCTTCCTGTGACAGCCCTATTCTCCCTCCCGACACTGCTGTTAGTAAATAGATTTACACATTCTCCAATCTCCACACATCTTTCTGCCGAATAATTAAAAGCAGGATGATTAGTTTATTGAGTGGAAGGAGGAACTTTTTTATTGAGGTCCATCCACGATTTTATCAGGGCCAGCACTTTTACGGTTGTCAGGAGGATGCAGGCATCCAATTTTTCTTATCTGCCTGATTAATACAAACGCTGTTTCAGGACGCATTAATTAACAGATACAAATCTACGTTCTCATGGAAGGATCAATACGGAGAAGAAAAGAGGCATCAATGTGAATTTAGTGCTGATGATGGAGAAGGCACGCTATCGACATTTACGTGCACGGAAACTTTAAAGTTGCACAGGGGCCCTTTTGTCCCTGTGATTTACAAATTAACAATTTTCAGCCATAACAACGTTTCACACATTTCTTTGGGGTTTAATTAAGCAAAAAACAATAAAATTTCATTTTTTAAAGTGGACCCTGCAATTTGTTTGCTCTCTGTCGATGGCTCTGTGTGTGTACGTGTGTGTGTATCTTTCCTGTAAACTTAACTTTTTTCTTTCACTTCTTGGTGAAATAAAAAGAAGAAAAAGGGTAAAGAAAAAGATGATCTCTCTCATTTTATTTATTTATTTATTTATTTTTGGTGAGAGAGGAGGTGATGATGAATATAGGTTTGACAAGTTTGCTTGCCTGATATCCTCAAATCTATTTCAGCTGATTAAAGGAGGTGTAATTTTGCAAAACGGTAGGAAAAAGGACAATCCATGCTTTACAAAGGATAAATAAAAGTCCGGACTTATCCCTTCTTGCTCTAGAAATAACTGAATCGCAACACTTTTAACCCTTTCCTACCACGCTTCTGCAATCTGGAAGCTGTTGCAAAGGTCGCTTTTGCCCAGATGCCTGCGTGGCAGTGAAACGGCCTTGTTATGAGATTATCGTGCTCACCTGCTCACTAAGGAGGCTGCATACATCACAGACATTAGCTTTTAATTCCACAAAGTTCTTCTACTGCCCCTTAGGAGTGCTAGCTTAAGACACATTACATATATAAGCATATCTGGATAACATTTTTACCAGTGGACCTGAGCAAAGTATCAAAACCTAAATGTCCAAGATCTAACTAAACTGAGTTTAAGGAATTTTTTAAAAACACACTCTTACTGCTCTCTTGGCACACACACGCTTGTGTCCCAACGATAATTACTTGTGTGCACCTTCACCCGGCATTTAGTGGTGTTTTATGGCTACTGGGCTACAAATTAGAGGTTCTCATCACCTATAGGATTCAGATACCTTTGGAGAGAAACCTCTCTCCCAAGTGAAATAAAATATGCTTTGCAGTCGTGTTGTGTGAACCTCGTGTTTTGTGCGTCCTGGGATCTTAATCTTTGGTGTGTGACAGCTTATAGTTTTAAATGTTCAGCCATATTACAGCTTTTTAAAACACACTGATACCATGGTGCATTTTTTTTTTCCTCCCTGGCTCTGGCCCATTCCATGCCTATCGCTGACAACTGGGATCTCTCTTCATCTCTGTCCCGGAGTCAGTGCCATTTAATGTATCTCAGGCATTTTGCTAGCAGAATGACTCTCTACCTTGACCCGCAGTTAAATAGCATGTTTATCTGCAATACAGTGTGCTCCAAATAAACCAGATGACAGTTGGGAATAATATCACTTGGAAGGATTGAAAAGCTTCTCAAGAGGCAGGTACCCCTGAAGTAATAGGCTTGAAGAAAGTATGTTCTGTGCCAGCCCTCTTGCTTTCTTCTACTAGAAACTTCGGAGGATGGCAGTGGTGCCATGGGCACTTGTCAAGCACTTTTTTTTTTTTTAGCCTGGCAAACTGATGCACTTTGCAGTCAACTTTCAGAAAAGGCTAAGCATTTGAAAGTGTGAAGGGCAAAAAATATCTGACGGCTAGTCTTCAAAAATACACTTTCATTTCAGAAAGCATAAATGTTTATTTCCTGAACGGAGTGTTGACAGAAATAGGCTGCAGTGCAGGCATCCGGTTTTAACCCCTGCTAGGCATTTTCTTCTCGGCTGCTTCCTTGAAACAGAGAGCAAGCATTTTAAATCTTCAGGGTGTCCGTTAATATCAGTTAATCATGGCATTGATTTGCCCGCTCACAGTTTTTGAACTGTAGTGTCTCTGTTCCGCAAAACATTGACATCTTTCAACGAACAGCATATCATGCTAGAATTGTAATGATGCCATAATGACTCACGGAGATCGCAAACGAAATTCATGGAGAGAAGGTGAGCAAGCAGTGTGGCATAAGCTAGTTTCTTTCTCTCTCATACAAATGAACCTACTGTTTACAGGAACTAGGGGAGACAAGAATCACAATGGCACTAAGATCTGGTCTTGCCTACCAGGAGACCTTGTTAGAGCTAAACTTTATGTTTAAGCCAGTTGCTACTTCACATATGAGCAGACATACCATTTGCTGTATAATTCACAAAACACACAGCTCTGG